CCAAAGAGTCTTAGGTGGCATCTACCCTCTGAGCGCATAAAGCGTTAGCACCACCAAAGGACTCCACAGAGGGCAACGTCGGGGTGCGGGATACCGGTCAGCCAGTGGGCTCTAGGTCTGGGATAGTTCATGTAAGTTGGTCTACAGCTCTTGTGCATTTTGGCAAGTGCCCAGAGGCAGCAGGAATGTCCATCAGCCAAGAATAAAAATGGAAGTGCTTTAGGAGAGAATATAGGGAGACTATGGGCTGTCAAATCTAGGTAAACCCCAAATCCTGAAATCAGGTCCTGCCTGGTACCTATGGGGAAGGCAGCTTGGTTTTGCTCACTGAGTCTCTTCAGCCTTCAGGATGCAAAGCAGGGGAAGAGTGAGACTGCCCGAAGCTGGCTGTGACTGGAAGGGAGGACCACAGCCAGGCAATAGAGAGTGGTCACCCCAAAGCAGGCTGGGTACATTCCCATGATCCTTTCTCACAGGGGCTTGTCCCTGGCACCGCATGGTACTTGATTCATGGGTTTTCTAGATTGCTAGGCATGTGCTACTTGGCTCTTTGAGGTTGGCACCTGGAGGAGGATGGGGACTCAGGGAGGCCGTTGTGTAAATTGGCGTAGCATGCAGGCTGCATGAGACTCAGAAGTCCCAGGATGCACTGGGATGCCCGACAGCTTCTGTGTTGACTGATCACTTGCTCCAAAAGGTTTGCCGAGTGCTCGCTCCAGGCCAAGGCACTGTGGCAGGCACTGGGGTGAAGTGGTCCCTCTAGGGGACTCCCAGTCTGGTTCCAGAACCTCGGCTCTTAATCATTGCTCACTGTCTCTAAACTGTACTTGTCTCCTAATAGCTTGTGAAACACACTGAGGGCAAGTGTGAGTGGTGTCTTACTCTGCTTTGATCCCAGCACTGGCTGCCATGGATTCGATCTCACTAAACAGAATCGGGTCGAGGAAGCCATTGGGTTGGTGTAAATAAGGGACCCTTGGAGCTGAGTCAATGATCTAGACCAGCCAGAGAGACCATGGGTGTGTCTACTGAGCTGCTGTTACAATTCAGTTTCGGTGATGAAATGGGGAGGTTGCCCCAGGTCCTTTCCTTGCTCATCCCTGATGGTGGGCTGTGGGATTCAGTCCCCATCAGGACGGGTCCTAAGGGATGGTTGTGTACTTGAAGGGAAGAGATTAAGAAGCAGACAAAGGTTTTGGAGTGCTCACCTCCTCCATAGTATCAGGAACCAGGTCTGGGAGAAAGAGAGAAGGTATTCTTACACCAACTTAGTCTCGGGTATGCAAACTCCCCTAATTACAGGTAACCACATACATAAGAAAGTGGGTAGTATCTTAACATTAGGGGTCCCCAAGTTCATTGGGGGAGTGACCTAACACCAGTGCTGGGGGCAGGTAAGTGGGAGTGTCTGTCCCCTGAGCAGGGAGAATAATAGCAACCTGTCTGCTCCTGGAGATAAAGCTGCCAGATAGCAAGCAGTCGTATGCTTGGAAGAAGTAACTTTAAGGTAGCATTGTTATAGGAGGACATTGTGGGGATTAATCTTAATTATGAGAGTATGACTGGGACTCATCTCCAACTCACAAATGTGAAGACCTCCCTCCACACAGAATCCTGGCCACCCAGGCTTCTTAAATATGATTAATAAAGACTTTGTCCGCATACACTTTCTTCCCATTCCAGTTTCTCACAGCGGGCCCTTCCTCTGAATGCACTCCAAGTTCAGTGGGTCTCACTGGATTGAGGTCTAATCCTGGGCCTTGCCTGCTAGCCAGAGGTCTGTACCAGTACCACCAAGAGAATCATTTCCTAAGCTTTGGGGGCTCACATACCAGGTGTGGGCTCCACGTTGTGCTGTTTGCGTTCTCAGCTTATCCAAACTTCCAGGTCTGGGAAACCCCTTGTGAGGAGCTTGCTCATGTTTGCTCTGCTCCCTACATCTTTGCAACCCCCAAGCAAATGCAGTAGGGTCAGGGGGACACTTGTCTTCTGAGCACATTTTCTGAAAAATGTCCCCTTTCAGCGTGTTAATGGAAGGAAATAGGGAGAAGGCAGAGTCGTTGAGACCAGAAAGCGCCCTCTGCTCTGGTGACAACTTTTGTCATAGTTGACTGACCTCACTTTTCCAGTGATCACTTCCTGAGAGAATGTTAAGGCTCATGATCTAACTTCTTGTTACCCACTTCCAACAGCATTGGCCTCTGCTGTTTCTCAAAGATTCTAGGGGTGCCTCAGCTTCAGGGCCTTTACACTGGCAAGCCCTCCCTCTCCCCCCATATTTGCTTGGCTAATGCCTTCAGTCTCAAGTTTTCCCCGAGTTTCACCTTCTCATTTGGGGTGACTTGGGGTATTTGCCAATTCCCATGGTGTAAATAGTCCTAGCAAAGGCGATTTCAGGTTCCCAGAGTGACAGTGAAGAGGCAGAAAAATGTGTGAATTGTTAGCAATCAGTTCTCACAGGCAGCTGCGAGTTAGCATCAGCCCACTACTATGTTTCAGAGCCAAGTTTCTGTCTTAGGCCCTGGGGGGTTACGCATGCTACACTTTCACCTGTTTGCATAGCCTCTTGGATACAAGCTCTTGTAGAGAGAAGACTTGCTTATTCATTGTTGTTGTTTTTGTTAGTTGGATAAATAAAACGAATCGAATAAAATGAAACTCGGCACCGTGCTGCACCGTCTTCAGGCTCAGTGGCAGGTTTTAGCCTGTGGTTGAGTGTCTTCCTAGGAGGCTCACCTCCCAACATCACGTTGACGTGCAGCATGATATCGGATAATATTCTCCTGGGATGATAAGGTTTTCGCTTCTCAGGAGGGGGTGGCCAGATGTTTTCCTCAAGCCTGGCTGAGTCTGGAAGCTCCACTGAAACCTGTCTCCCATGGTGACCCTGGTAGGGTGATGGAAGTACCGTCCATGGTGGCATGAGCATCCTGCGCAATGTACACGCCACCACAATATGGGCAACTGATAGACAGATGGTGGAGGCTTTCCTTAGGATGACTTTAATCCACCTCTCGCTCATCAAGATTGCTTGTTCACTGGGTGGAGAGGTGAAGGACCAGCCTCTTTTCCTTCAGAGCCAGGGTGATAATTGCTTTGTGGATGTGGTCATTAGAAAAATAGTGGATCATATGGTTTTCCAATAAAAACTCTAGAACACTATACAATACGCCGATGAGTAAGAAGCAACTGATGCACGTCTGCTCTCACACGGACAGAAAGTGCTCCACCTCGCCTATGTGGACCAAAGCCTGTCCCCAGAATTTGTATGGCTGACTTGATCCGGTGCCAGCCCGCCTCCAGCTCTTATAACACATATGATGTGCTCTGTAGCCCTAACAACCCCTTTGAGTTACCCGTTCTTCAGATTTCATGTCTTTTTAAAGAGTTTATGTTTTTCTAGCAGACCCTCACTCCACAGATCAATCCCCCCTGCCCCATCCCCACTCATTCAGGTGTACCTGTAGCAACAACCTTTCTTATCTCCAGGAGCCCTGGTGGCTGCGGGTTACACATTGAATTGCTTCCCACGAGTTAGCAGTCATCAGTCACTCCTGGGGGAAAAGATGATGCCGGCTGCTCCCACAAATCATGGAACCCAAAGTGGCCATTCTAAGGTGTCCTACTGGGTGACTCTGATTCAGAATTGACTCCGTGGCGGTGAGGAGTTTGGGGTTTCTCCTCTTTATACTCCAGATTTAAGAAAGGAAGGCTCAGACTATTTACTGGCCACGGATGAGGGAATGGAAGCTCAGTTAAGTTTAGCAACTTTCTGCAAGTCTCATATATAGGGACTAAGAGTCACAGCTTCCTCCCTTCCTTCCTTCCCTTTTGTGTTAGTTGGGTTGACTAGACAAACAAATCCAGAGACATTCATATATGCGTAAGAAAGAACTTTATATCAGAGAGCAAATTTATATTAAGAAACATCCCATCCCAGTCCAGATCAAGTCCATGAGTCTATTAGCCCATATCCGATAATTGTCCATAAATTCCTCTTTAGACTCACGCAGCCATGCAATGATGCTGAATGCAGGAAGATCACAGGCCAGTGGGAAAAAAGTCTGGTGGATCCAGTGGCTGTGGAGGCATCTCAGCACTGGTGTGGGTCTCCACGTGGTTCGTCCAGCTCCAGGGCTATAGATCCATCAGTCTCCATGTGGCTTATCAACAGGAATGTGAAGCAGAGAGAATGTGTCCTGCGTCCAGGGAGGAAGACAGGAGTTCCCAGAATCCTCAGGAGAAGGCCATGCCCACACAGAGGGCTATTGGCTATGACCTGATTGACAGGCTAGACTCCATCCCTTCCTCAAGTCGACAGGAGATTATGTAACTGCCACACCTTTCTTTTCTTTTCTCTTTTCTTTATTCCTTCCTTCCATCCTTCCTTCCTTCCTTCCTTCCTTCCTTCCTTCCTTCCTTCTTTTTAAATCTGGAAACACATTTGAGGCTTTTCCTCTAACATTAGCAATGAGAAAACTCACCCCTGGTCTCAGCATTTGATTGATCTTTGATTTTCACAAGCCTTTCATTCACACACTCACAGGTAGGAATCTGCCCTGGCCTCCCTATACCCAAGCACTTGGTTGTCAGAATGAAAAAGAACAAAACGTCGGTGTCATTTTCAGGTCTCTTGATAGGCAAACCACTAAAAACGATGTGTTGTGGGAGTGTGGAGAACGTTTATTTATTCTTAGTGAATGAGGGCTGTTTGACCCGGCTCTATGAATATGATCATCAACATGTGCTGATAAGGTTGCAGGAGTGGGGCTTCTGCTCTCTTTGTCTGTGGAACTGGTCCCTAGGAAAGTGGAGCTTTGTCTGTGGAACTGGTCCCTGGGCGTAGGGCTTGGTGGGACCCTCCTGCTGGAAAAGCTGAGCCTTGCAGCACCCATGGAATGGGCCGATTGGTGCTCAGCCCTTCACCAATATCTGTGAGATGGGATGCAAGGCTTTTCTGACCCCAGCCATAATTCTCTCCTCTCCTCTTCTCCCCACAGGTGTTTTCTCGGGAGTCCTGGGAGAGAGGTGATGGGCGGGACTGCCTTTGGCCTACACCATGCAGCCTGAGCCTGTTGCCGCCCTGCCCTGGGCCTTGCTCTGCCTGAGCTCTCAGTTCCTGGTTGCTGCCCTCCCGGAGGGTCCCTGCTACTAGGAGGTGGAACTTCAGGACTGGTCCTTGGCCTGTCATATCGCTACCTTTCACCTGGCTCACCACGCGACTTCCCCCTCCTCCGTCACGGAAGGGCCAGCCCCAGCTCTCTGCCTGGCCTCCCTGGCTGGGGCGTGTGGGGGCCCCTTGGGTGGAGAGCTTTGCTGAAGGCTTCCTCCGACACGTGCACCTTCTCATCCTTGAATCAAGGCCTCCGGATCCACATGGATAGCTGAGATCTTTTCTTGGAGAAAGACACTTTCCTCTTCATTCCAGGCTGTCCTTCCCTCCACCCAACTTCCTTCCTTTTGGCTGTCTTTGTCCCCTGCCTCTTCCTACGGTTGCTGAATTCCTAGCTCACATACTCTCTTCCTGCCTCTCCATCTCAGTATCTGTGTGTGACTCCTCCCTCTGTATTCCCTCCTCTGACTCTTTTTCCTCTCACCCTTCCATTGCCAAAGGGGCAACCCCCTACGGACTCTCCCCTGGCCTGTCCTCTCCCTGGGCTGTATCCCAGCAGTCACCATGAGCTTCACCTTCCACTCAGTTTTCTTCACCTTGAAGGTGAGCGTCCTGCTGGGGTCCCTGCTGGGACTCTGCCTGGGCCTCGAGTTCATGGGCCTCCCCAACCAGTGGGCTCGTTACCTCCGTTGGGATGCCAGCACTCGCGGTGACCTGAGCTTCCAGTTCAAGACCAACGTCTCCACAGGGCTGCTCCTGTACTTGGATGACGGCGGAGTCTGCGACTTCCTTTGCCTCTCCCTGGTGGACGGTCGAGTCCAGCTCCGCTTCAGCATGGACTGTGCAGAGACCACCGTGTTGTCCCATAAGCGGGTGAACGACAGCAGCTGGCACTTCCTCATGGTGAGCCGTGACCGCCTGCGCACGGGGCTGGTGCTCGATGGTGAGGGACAGTCGGGGGAGCTGCAGCCCCAGCAGCCCTACATGGATGTGGTCAGCGACCTGTTCCTCGGCGGAGTCCCTGCTGACATCCGCGCGACCGCCCTCACCCTGGATGGAGTACAGGCGATGCCCGGCTTCCAGGGATTTATCTTGGACCTGAAGTATGGCAACACAGAGCCCCGGCTTCTGGGGAGCCAGGGTGTCCAGCTGGATGCCGAGGGGCCCTGTGATGAGCGGCCCTGTGAGAACGGTGGAATCTGCTTTCTCCTGGATGGCCACCCCACCTGTGATTGCTCGACCACTGGCTACGGTGGCAAGCTCTGCTCAGAAGGTAAGGCCCTCCCTCTGCCCCTCCTTATCTCACTCAAGATCCACCCTCGGAGTTGGGCAAGGCCAGAGACCCTATGTAGAAACCAGTTCTCTCACGAAGATGCTTCTTCAGCTGCATGTTAAAGAGTTGGGCCCCTTTCGCTTAGGAGGTGGTAGAAATCCATCCCTGGTTCTCCTGGAAAACTCCGTAAGGTCTCAGTCTGGCGACTCAGCCATGGCCCCTGGACTCAAATGTTGGCACGTACCCAAAGGGCTGGATTGGGGCTGGCTGTAGTTTGTGCCCGAGCTCAGCTCGCTCAACTGTTGAAGCCTCAACTGGCTTCAGCAGGATCCGCACAGGGTGAGGAATCAGGTAGAGATCAGCGGCCATCTCTGTCTCTCTTGATACCTGAGGACGTCTGGGGCACTCTCCATCACTTCTGCCTAAGACGTGCTTGTGGGAAGAAGATAAGGGTGGCCAGGTGGCCAGGTTATGCATGGCCCTGGTGCCTACCTGCCTCTTCAGGTATGAGCCTCCCTCCATAGTTGCCTGGAAAGTGCCTAGAGGGTGGGTGAGGCATCTGGGGGTGGGCCTTGTCACCTCCTTGTTCAAGGATTTTTCACAGGGCGTCCCTCTGTACATGTGGCTTCCTTCCCCGTCCTCTGTACCTACTAAGGACAGTGCAGGGAGCCACAGAGATGACGCATGGAAGTGGCTAAGTGGTACGAACTGACCACACAGGTAGGTGTGTTGAAGCAAGGTTGGGCTGACCAAGTGACAAGGAAGTTGTCTTGCCCCCTCGTCTTTGTTAAATCGGGTCCTTCTAGAGGTGTTTTTGTGCTGCCATTGCATTCCGGTCTTTGCCTGGAGAAGATGGTGGGACGGTCCAGGGAAGAACAGTGGTTCTCAACCTTGGCAGCACATAATGACTACCTAGGGGACCTCACCTGTCCAGGCTCCAGACCAATAAAATCAGAATCTTGTGGGAGAGGACCCAAGTATAAGTGTAGTTTTCAGCTCCCAGATGATTCCAAGGACGAGGACTGACCAGTCCAGAGGGCAAAGACAGCCACAGGAGTAGGCCAGAGGAGGACCTGGTCACCGACTCTCAGTGTCCCTTCGCTCGGGTGAGACGTCCTGCTACTTTTGGCTGCTGATGAATGATGATGTCTGCCCGTGCTCAGCCGATTGCCCAAAAGGAGCCCAACTTTGAAAGTAGGTTGTGGTTGATATGCACTTTATCACCAGTAGCCGCTTAAAAATAAATAACAAACATTTATTTCACAGGGGACATGTGCTGGAGACCAAGACGCAATGGAGGCTTATTTTCTGGGCTTGATCTTGACCTCATCAGAGGCAGTGCCTGGGGGGGTTGAAGACGCCCTCCCCGGGCGCTACTTCATTCCTCTTGTGGCTTGGGTACCGTCTCTCTCTTTTTGGGTAGGAGGGGGAGAAACCAGATGTACATCCTCCTCGAGTGTCTGTTTTTCCCTGCCGGACCCATTGGGAAAAATAGGTGGAGAAGAACAGTAGAGGTAACCCCAACCCCAAGTGCCACTTGGGGACTGTGGTTATTGAAGTGCTTCTCCCATGCAGGTCCCTTCTGGAGCTGACTGCTGTTCCAAAGCTGTTGGGCTTTGGAGAAAGTTCTGCCTGAAGATGCTAACATGAACACTTGCTTCCTCCTTCGCCCAGAGGGTCTGTTCTGTTCTCACAACTTGCACCGAAAGCTGGCATTCTTCCTTTCTAGGGACCAGGGTGTTTGCAAGTGTGTTGTTTCACTTGATGATTACCCCTGATTGCATTTTTTGTGGTTAAAAAGAACTCATTTCCTCTGGGCAGGTTTAGATCAGCATTTTCTGCAGGAAGAATCTCTATCCTGTGTATAGAGTATAGAGTGATGTGTGTGTGTGTGTGTGTGTGTGTGTGTCCCCACCCCCACCCCCCCAGCCTCCAGAGCAGATTATACACAATGGGATTTTAATAGTGAAATGCCACCTGTATATTTCAATCATTGTCCTTTTGGTGAGGTTCTGACCTGCTCGTGGCCAAGGAGCGATACCTCTACCTGTAAGTGCAAACACACCACGCAAACATATATCCTCCTGAGACATACATTGAGTAAATAACCCCTGGCCGCCCAGTGGCATTTGGTTAGCTTGGGAGTGAAGCAGAGCAGGGCGGGGCCGGGATTGAGATTAGGGCAAGTTTGGGGGGCGGTCACAGGATTTCCCATGGATAATTGGGAGCTTGTTGATCTTTGTGTCACATGTAATCCATCACAAAAGTATATCACAGACTATTGGTAAATGTCTGTTCTCTCTAGTTCATTTTTAGCGAGTTGTCAGAAAAAAAACAACAGAAACCCTTACCTATCAATGGTGAAGAGAACAATGTCAGAGAAGCTGGGACGTGTCCTGCAGATCTGCATAAATCAAGATAAATAGCTGCAAGGAACAACCTTTTTTTTTTTTTCTAAAGACGCTTTGGTGAGGCTGGTGGGGAGGCAGCCGACTGCCCTCCCACCTTCAAATGGCACATACTGCAGAACCGGAGCCAGGGGACTTAGTCCCAGCCCTTGGTCCTCTGTGCCAGGTGCTTGATGGTCCCCGGCGTGTGCCTGGCCTGGAAGGTCCTTTTTGCATTTGGCACGTTCGCAGTTCACAGAGCAGGGCACTCTGGGACGGCTCCTGCGGCTTCAGATGGATGTGGCCAGAGCCTGTGGGAGGTACCCTGTGCGGTCCATTAGCTTGGAGCCCACCTGCCGTGTGGCTATTTTGCCTGCCTGCTTCTCCATGCCTTGATGGCTTCAAAATGTCTCTGTGTACACCCCAGGGAAACGCACAGATGGGCCCATCTTTTTTATGTGTTTTAGATGCTTTCGATAGCCTGTGGGATCTCTTCTCTAGGCAAGACCTGGAAGACACCAGAGATAGTTGCTGTGGGAGAGTTGGGCCTGGGGGTAAGAGGAGATGGACGTATGTGTCTTCTGTTTCATGCGGCGAAGGACTATGAGCTTTACCTAGAGACACGTTGCTCTAAGGCTCAACCCAGCTTCTAGTCACATTTAACACCGTCACATGTAGTGGAAGGCGTTGTGTGACTCCCGTGTGCCAGGTTTCAAAATAGAATGAGTTGGTGCTCAACTTCAGATTTGCTCCTGTGGGCATTTCTGATAGTTAGGGCTTGTGCCACCTAGACACTCCTGGTTAAGGGTCCGGTGGAGCCCAGCCTAGCCATTGAGTCACAGTGTGATGACACCTCTTTGGGATGTGGCCTTCTGTGTAAGAGAGAGACCACACAACGGCACAATCTCTTTGGCCGACACCTTCTGCGGGAACTGGATCTCTCGTCTAGTTCTTGGTCTCCTGCTAAGCTGCCTGCCGCTCCTGGGAGTCATCGAGGATTCCCTACTGCAGATTCATTCGACTGACTTTGGATTCATTGACCTCTGGGTTCACCAGCCCATGCCCCACCACTGCCACCTCTGCTTGGTCATCCTGTTTCTGTTTGTCAGCTTCCACAAGGCAGGAGGAGCCTGAGTGGGACTGGACTGGACTTGACCTGCTTCTGCACCTGCATAAAGCCTTTCTTGATGTGAACCTCGTTCTATAGCAAACGTCTACAAGTGTTACTGGTTTTGCTTCTCCAGAGAACCCCACCTAACACCACATTTAATCTTGTGTTTTCAGTCATGGTCTTAGAGGACAGAAGAGGTACTAATGACTTAAAGAGGACTTAAAAACGGAGTATATGTAGGGAGCTATGGTACGGTGTAGTCATTTGCAGTTAGCTTAGCTCAATCTGTTCTGTATTCTCGAAGCACACTGGCTAATGAAGTATCCTGAGTTACCCTCTAGAAAGCAGTCCCCTCTTGGGGACTGAGAGTTTGTCATGACCTTGAAGTACATGTAGACGTGATTACTTGTAAAGCATTCAGAGTCATGAATAGGTATGTGTTAGATCCCTCAACCATCACCTGGTCAGGAAGAACTGATTCACTGCCAAGGGGTATACAGTTTAATACCATGTTCCTTAAAGATGCCCCTTAATCTGAAGCTAGCCTGTTGCATGTGGGGGTAAGGCCAGGCAAAGATGGAGAAGGCACCCCAGTCTGGCTGATCTAAATGCCGGCTTCTCCCCTCACGTGTCTGCTCATGTCCTCTGATTGCTGGGGCCACGTTTCTACAGTAATTCAGGGAGGAAGCATGAGGTTGGCACAGAAAAAGCCGGGTTTGATTGTGTTTTCTATTCCTGCTGACTTGGGCAGGTGCCTGGACCGGAAGTGTCATGGCTCAGTCTCTGCTGTAGGTTTTTCTAAGTGTTGGCGCCCTAGAGTGAAATCGGGGCAGTGGTGGGTGTCGGTGACAGGGACTAGAGCCGTATTCCCAAGATGCTACAGTGTAGTCTGCACACGGATGCCTCTTCTCGCCTCCTTCCTGCTGGCCGAAGCTGACATCCCACTCAGGAGCATTTGATGGATGGCTCCACGCCACCGTGCAGCCTGGGGATGACTTCCTGAGAGTGACTGCTCATCTCTTTATGGAGTATTGTGTGACTCTCTTCCCTGTCTCTCAAAGGCAGAACCAGGATGCAGCCGCGTGCCAAGAGGAGGTGGCTTACCCGGGTCCAAAGACAATGGGCCTCCATGAGTTTGGGTAGATGTGACAGCAGCTCCCCACAATGAGGACAATGGAGGCTGTAGTAAAGGTCCCCTGATTGCCCCAGCTGGATCCTCCTGCGTTGGACACTTTTGTCCTCACACCGTGCCCTCCTCTCCTCCTCGCGGGGCCTGCGCTGCTGGAATGGTTTTCCGGCATTGTTGCTAATCTGTGTCAACCCTGAATGGCTTTGGAAAGGGGATTGGCAAGGGGGGTGGTGAGTCATTAGAGGGCAAAGGACAACTCCATTCAGCGTCCCCTCCCTGGAAGGGGAAAGGTGCTTGGAAGCAAGCCCTTAAAATATACACAAAGGAGGGACCACCATTTCTTCTACACCCCCCTCCCCCCCAGCATACAGGC